TGATGCGTGGGAGTGCGATACAAGAGTATTAAAAAGCTCACGCTAGGCAACGACGACCACAATTAAGGTGAAATGAAACAGTTAAAAAGTATTTATGTGAAGAAAAAGCAACTCGTATAGATACGAGAGAAATCACTTTCTTATTCGATTACGAAGTTTCGGTGTTTACGTCCAAACTTTGATTAAAAACGAGTTTTCAACAATCGGCTAATCTCATCTCTTCGTAATCACGTGCCAATAAATATTATCCAATTTTCTTCTTTTTTTCTCTGTTACATTGTGTATTAAACTTTTTTCTTTTATATATTGATATCAATTTTTAAGACAATAAAATTTAACCCTAATCCCTCCAACCAGGAACTTTCGTGTCCCACGCGTTTCTAACGTCGTTTTGTTCCGGTCGTTTGTTCCGGAAAACCAACGGCCGTGCACTGAAAAAAAGTTTGGTTAGAATAACCTAAGGCTTGGTGAAATAGCTTCAACTAAAGGGTTTAGTAATTATGACGAAATATTTGGTTAATGTTAACCGCATTTGTTAACATTAACCAAATTTGTTAACATTAACCAAATATTTCGTCATAATCACTAAACCCTTTAGTTGAAGCTATTTCACCAAGCCTTAGGTTATTCTAACCAAACCTTTTTTTCAGTGTGGGATAATCCCCCCTACCTATAAAAAAATTGTTATAGTAGGGAACATCAGATAGAAATTTCAGAGCCCTAGCTTATTTACTCTCGAAACGGCAAACAGTCAAAATCTCGTTGATTAAATGGCGGAAAAAAACGTTGGAGGGATTGTGGTTAATTTTTAGCAAGTTTTAACCAATTTTAGCCAAAAATTGCTAAAAAAATATTTCTGAAAATAGATTTTAGTGAAAATAAATTGTCATACGATATTACACTGTGACATTTTTAGATACAGATAAAATTATTATTATTAAAAATTAACTATTTCAGAGATCTCGTTCGCCAACAAACTTTTCACGATCTCTGATCTAACGAGCATGTAATGATAAATTATTTTTTATTCAACGTTCATTAGCGTGATGATTTATTAAACTACTTTGTATGCTTAAATTATTAAAAATGAATGAATCGTCAGTTTAAAATCGTCAATGCATAGTTCAAAAATGTTAATGATATCATTGATTACTTTGTATTTATTCTCACTACGTAAGTAAATAATTATCTTATCACGCGTGACCCTTTTCTCAACCGTGGAAAATATTTCTGCCATATGCGCGCATCGACGACATATGATAAAATTTCCGGAATGTATAGAAGTCATGATATCAATGTCATTCGTATTTTGATCGTTTGTAATACATGTTGAATAGCATTTTTATTAGAGACTTATCTTTATGCTACACTATGGAAAGTAACGCAAGTTAGAATGCGTAAGAAGGCAGGATTGCGTAACTTTGTACTCATGTTAGAAAATTTTTTGAAGGATATGGTTTTCTCTATATATCGATATTTCCATTTCATGCCTACGTAAAGAAAGAAAGGCATATGAGCAGTATTTCGTTACGTAAATTTAGTCAGAAAAACCGTGTATGCTCTGTATACACATCACATACATCCGAATGCAGAAACAATTTAAACTTCGCTAAAGTATTAAAGTTTCGTTTGAGGTGCGTATTACTTGACGCTATAATAAATACAGTACATATACAAATATCATCAAAGTGAGCATCCGTGCATGCTTTCATAAATTTTAATAACGGTCGGGAAAATTTTGTCGCAGACAGATATCCCACGTATCACATATTTATCACAATGTCATTTAATATGTGCTTCAAGCAAAATTTCAAACTTTAAGTAAAATTTAAATTATTTCTCTATTCGAATGTGTATATGTAAAAAGATACTTTGCATTAAATTATATGTTTTTATTATGTATTTATTTGTATTATATATTTTTTACGTATTTTATTTTACATATATATAATAAAAATAAATATATAATAAAAACATATAATTTAATACAAAGTATCTTGCGACGAAGCAGACAATGCCGCGCGGCGAGCCACGTGATCAATATCACCTTTCATTGAAACTGCGACCGGTAAATTAATACATACCGCGGCACTGATTGGCCAACGCCACCGTCGATCGTGGCCAGTCGCGAACACCCGTTATGCAAATTTAATAATTGTCGTTCCTTATAAATTCTGCCCTTTCCATTCGTTTCCCTTCTCGCCGTGGCGATCAAATCGGAGCGCAGTTGCGTTCGGTACACGCGGCACACGCACTTAAGCGGAAAAACGGCATTTAAATGGGAATGCTCTTTATCCACGCCCACGATCAATCAAATAGCGCGAAATCACCTATCGACGGATCATTCCGCGATATTTCGTAAAACGGTATCACACTGAAGTAACCGAATTCTCGACAGAATGTTCCAAGTGCTGGAATAGAGTCTCCGTCGTCGAATGTTTCGTGAAAGATCCGGTAATAGATTACAAGACTGTTTCACTCTAAAGACAAATATAAGTTGCGGAATTGTATTAAAAATGATTAACTCAAAATATCGCCATCGATATTTTCAGGGTGTGGAAAATTCTACAGATATCTTCTTGTTCTTTTTTGCGCTCGCCAATGAAAAAAAATAAAGTATTTCACGCACTTTCTTTCTCATTGAAACTTCTAGGGCAATTTAAAAGTTTGGAAACACGGACAATTCAATTGAATCTGTACTCGCGCGAGTAATTAACTCGATCGAAGATCAGCGATCTCCGATTGCTCGAATGCGCGCGATTCTTAAAGAGATTCCTCCAATTTCACTTATCTAATCGCCATTATCTTTTTCACGCACGAATTCTCTTGCACATGCAATAAAGATTCCGATTTGATAACGCGCAAGGAAGCACGTTTCCTCGAAATCTCGGAAATAACGAAAAACGAACTGTTTAGATTTAGAGAGATTGACGTATCGCGTGTGTGACTCCGGATAATAAATAACGCAAGCGAACGACAACGCGGATGTATATACGGAAAATATCATCCTTGTAACCGGCAAATTCTTTGGCTTTGAAGAGGATCTTCTCGATAACTCGATAACGGCGAAGGAGAACTATTTTACTTGAGTTAATTTTTAGACACGCTAATTTTCAATATTAAATATCTTGGTAGATTTAATTTAAAATTCCACTAATTGTAAGATAACTAAGATAAGATGATCACTTAAAATCAATTGATAAATAAATTGTTATATATAATTCCCAAAATTCTACAATTTTATTCAACTCTTAAAAAACTCTTAAAAAAAATTGATTCAGTATTAAAATTGTTAAAAAATGTAGAAATAAAAAATCTTGAGACTGTCTTCATAAAAAGTAAAAATACAATCGAAAAAAATTCTATGAAGCTACAGCTGTTCTAAATTACTTGTTGCTAAATATATATATCTATATATTATTTCATAATATTATTTCAGTTCATAATTATCTATCATGATTTTTGAGAAAAGTCTTATGTGTGTTCAATTTATCATAATTATACTTAAAGAGGTATTAAATAAGATAAGTAATTAAATTGAAATGTTACTTGTTTTTAAATCTGTTTTTATATACTTCATTAGGTATACGATATTTATGAAAGGGGCTAGATATTTCGTCAAAAAGACAAGTTTTTTATAATTAAAAATCTCGATTTAGGAAACACGTTTTCAATGCAAATCGTAAATCGAAAATATTCGTATTTTTAATTTACAATTTGCATCGAAAACTTGTTTCCTACATCGAGATTTTTAATTCGCTTTCTTTTTATATTCGGTCTTCTTTTTATTCAAATTGGAGCCACAATATACCTCATATCTGTTAATCTGAGAAATAGCCACTCTGAGAAATAGACGACAAAATAAATTATTCTTTTTTAATAGCTATGTAAATTATAAGAAATAAAATATTAAAGATAAATCAATAAAAGTAGCTCTTTTTTCGATCACGTTAATTCACTGGCACAAAATTAATGGCAATCCGAATCTAAATAATTGAAACGAGGAAGAATCACGCTACTACAAATCGTGTAGAATCTATCGAATTCCAAGCACGTTATTTGTCAGTCTACTATCTCGTTGACCCTCACAACCAGTTACTCGCGTGGGTTGTAAAACACACTCCAGTCTCAGAAATCAACTAAATTCACAAAGTAAAATTTTATCGGTCGAATGCAGCATAATTTGTTTCACAAAAATAAAGAATTTCCGCACTTGTCTCTATCTAACAAATATACAGAATATTATTAATCTTCCTGAGAGCGTTTTTCCCGATTCTATTATTAACCTTTATTTAATTGTAAATCATTAAAGAGAACGATGAAAATTGAGATGTAACGTTGGAGTGTTATAAATACACCTCTCGCGCGAGTAATTACCGAGAAAAAACCACGCGATTGACGTTGGGTAACGAAGAATTACAATCGCAGATTATAAAAGTGGGAAAAAAGATATAAATCGGACAAGTTAAACACGCGTCAATGTTGTATTACAAGCGCCAGACAGATTCGGAGCGACCGCACGTCTCCGACAACGAAACAATATATTTATACTAAAGTCAATGTAGGACGCGAGCAAACACGCGAAGGACAGAGGCGAGGTAAACAGTGGTACGTGCGCGCGAGGGGAGCAAAAAAAAACAACCCGCGCACGTTGACGTTTCGCGGCTTTCAGATTTGCGCTTCGGCGTACCGGAACGCGAGGAGAATCGTCCCGAGTTGCCGGGGAATCGATCGCGGGGATCGATCGTATATGCGCCGGCGAACGCGCGGGGTGTCGACCTCCCCGCCGCAGTCTCCGGCCCGCGAGAGGGTTGAACGACTTGGTCGCTGAGTCTCGCAGCCCCTCTCGCCCTCCCTCGTCCCCGGCCGTCGGCGCTTGGCGCGCCGCAAATGGGCCGAGAGGCGAGGTTCGCTTGCTTCGCCTCGCACCGCACATACGCGCCGATGTGTGTATATATATATGTACGACTTGAAGCATTACGTAAGACGTAAGAGCTTACCTGCATCAGCGACACTTGGACGAGATCGGCGGGTCTGGCTGACGGCTTCCCGGAGGTTACCGTTTCGTATCTCGCAGGGACAATGACGGCGGGGACCTCGGTCCGCGCGGCTTTCGGCTTGGTCGAACGCGGCGCGTCGCTGCAGGCTCCAGCCTCCATAGTCGCTTCCAGGACGATTCTCGTCTCCGTCGGGATACGATGACAACGACGACGGCGGCGACGAGGCACGAGAAATTCCAACGGATGGAAACGGGGGACACCTTCGGGTTGCGCGCCGATTGCGGATCGATTTGCCGGCGCGACGCGACGACGCGACGCGAATCGGGAGATCCGTAGAAGGCGACGCCGACGGTGTCGAGATTCGAGATCGCACAGATCACGCCGCGCGAGGCGCGAGGGGGCGAGCGGAGTAAGCGGACTTCCGACTCCGAATTCGGTTACGCGCGCGCGCGCCCGATTTTCAGCGGCGCGAATATCACGTGATTTCGATTCGCGAGCGCGTAAACTGACGCGCGCGAGAGAGAGAGAGAGACGACTGCGTCGTCTCTTCTTCGGTCGATTCTTCTAAATTCTTCTGATAAGGCGGCAAAAAGTCGGGTGGTGGATCGTCGCACAGGGGAGTCGCGCGCGCGAGGCACACAGACAAGTCGAGGCACAAACACGCTCGATCGTGGACACCTTCACGCTTGTACTCCGGCCGCGGCGGCAGCGGCGGCGGCGAACGGCCCGAAGTCAGGCACAGGTACTTACCGCGGTATTAACGTGAACGGTATTATTACGCGATTATTATTACAAGGTCGAGAGAGATGCGGAAGATACGGAAGAGCGACGAGACAATTGCGTGGCGAACGACGGGGTTCGGCACTGCGAGAATCTCTCGTCGCCTCGGCCGGTCCCGGCTCGCCGCCGTCGCCCCACCCGAACGCAGCCGAATGCCGAGCAACAGCCTCCCCCCCCGCCTCCGCCCCTCCCGCCTACCGTCTTCTCGCTCTCTCCGCGCCACCCTTGCAACTAACCGTCTGCCGTCTGCCCGAAATCACCCGAAAGAGAGAAAGAGAGAGAGAGAGAGAGAGAGAGAGAGAGAGAGAGAGAGAGAGAGCTTCCACCGCCGTCGCGTCGTCGTGTGTCGTCGCGGTGTTGACCGTCGACGTTCGCGTCGTTCCCGACGTCGTGGCCCGTTGTCTGAAAGCCGAGCGAGGTTCGACGACGACGAGGAGCGACGAGGAAGATGGTTAGCTCGGCTCGCCAACCGCAATTAGCCAACGCTGGCGCGAACGCGGAACGCTTCTCGCGACTCGCCGACCCTTCTCTTAATGCGGATTACGTTCGCACGCATTGGTGCTTTGGGGTTGGTTTAGGACTATTGCGAATATTATCTTATATAATCGCGATATCCATATTGTTTCAAAATCACGGTGACAACGAGTGTTAACTCGATTTTATAATCCAAGTGTTTAATTTGAAGTTATAAAGTTAT